CTTTATTCTTAAATTGTTAAAACTATTGTTTAAAGTGCTTTTGTCATTTTACAAGTGCCCCCTAGTGAACTGCATGTCTAAAGTATTGAACTTAATGTACTGACAAGACACCTGAACAGGAAAGAATCAGGGTCACTCTAGTGACAAGGATCTTTATCTTCTGCATTGGCCACTATTCCAGATTAGTAGGAAACACTGTAGGAAAAAGGTATGATTTTGGGGTAAAGTAGGAGGAGTAGCTTCTGTAGTACTCTCTCCATGGAAGCCTGCTATAGGAAGGGTTTTGTTTTTGTTTTTTTCTTTTTCTAAAAGAAGCACCAATAAATGGGAGTGCAAGGGTACGTGCTTTTGTACTCCACTGAAACTGGGTTCCTAGTTCTTCTAAAAGGGCTACCATATTTTGCAGAGTTGTAAAGTTCAGCTGGAAAGGGTGTTGTACATTTCAGCATCGATTGGCCATCTTCTGCACACAATATGCTTAGCAGGTATAAATCCTGGTGTGAAAACATATCTCAAGAATTGGGACATAAGTGAATGTATTCATTTTCAGAATATTTATTGCCTACCAACTACGTGTCAGACTACTCTAGGGGCTGGACATGCAGTGATGGAGACAAAAAAATAAAAGTTCCTGCCCCTCTTGATTATGTCATTCAGGAGTTCACTTTCCAGTGGTGGAGGTTGTATTCTAGTGAAATGGTGAAGTACAACATGGGAGAGTTTTAAAGTGTCCATTTGGTTTTCTTTTGACTTAAAAATACATTGTTGCCATCACTTTTGCAAGTAGACCGGTTCCTGCCAGTCTCCTTATCCATATGGTTGAGGAATTTTAAAACATTGTAATGACTTAGATTTGGAAAGGACCTTAAAGTTATAGGTTTAACTCTTTTTTTTCTTTTAAAGATTTTATTTATTTGTCAGAGAGAGAGAGCGAGCACAGGCAGACAGAATGGCAGGCAGAGGCAGAGGGAGAAGCAAGGAGCCCGATGTGGGACTCGATCCCAGGACGCCGGGATCATGACCTGAGCCAAAGGCAGCCGTTCAACCAACTGAGCCACCCAGGTGTCCCAGGTTTAACTCTTTTATTTTACAGATGGAAAGTTGGAAGTGACTTACCTAGGTTTACCCATTGTATTACTGAAAGATTGAAGACTAGGCCTTAGATCTCCTCTTGTTTGCTTTTCTCAACCATATTTCTCATAGTTTCCAAGGTGAGGTCGGAGTCTGGATAAGTGACACTTTCAAAAAGTACAGATGGTGCAGTGAGTTCAAGGACCCCTGTAAATTGGGGTGATTTAGTTAATCAGAAACAATGGTTTACTAAAAGACAAATAAGATATCTGAGCTCTAATCCTGGCCTTTTCATTAAAGAAAAACCATTTAACCTGGCCCCTAAATTGCTTGTCTTTTAAATTAAAGGACAGGCTAGTTGGTGAGAATATTTGTGTAATACTTGGAGTCCTTTAAACGTAAGGCATTCGTGTGAAGAGATTTACAAAGCGCCTGGCATATAAGGCTAAAAAACTTTAGCTATTTATTATTAATCACACAACCTCATAATACTTACAGATACCATTTTGCAGATGAAGAAGTTGAGAATTACAGAGCTTAAGCACAGTTTCCAAGGTCCATCAGTGAAGGGGCTGAGACCCTGGGGATTCTGACTTTACTAATTCCTTTATAGTGCATTAAGATTCTTTCAGTTTTGGGGTGCCTGGGTGGCTCAGTGGGTTAAAGCCTCTGCCTTCGGCTCAGGTCATGATCTCAAGGTCCTGGGATGGAGCCCCACATGGGGCTCTCTGCTCAGCAGGGAGCCTGCTTCCCTCTCTCTCTGCCTATTTGTGATCTCTATCAAATAAATAAATAAAATCTTTAAAAAAATATTTCAGTTTTTAAGATTACTATTTTACAGGAATTTGGACTTGCTGTGAAACTAGAAATATGGGTAGAAGCACTACAAGCTGAGAGTAGAGGAAAATATTTTATGCAGAAACCAGCCATGTGAGTTTCCGGAAAGGAATACATGAGTTCCATCTGCTCTGTTTGCCAGGAGGCAGCTTTTCTGATGGGGAGTCGGATAGGGAGGTGGGGATAAAGTGGGATCCTTGATTGCCAAGCTATGGTGTCTGAGAGCCTTAGCAAGATACCGGATCAGAGTAGCAGACTGATGTTGTCAGTATTTTGTTTTTAATCTGGTTGTAGATTACCGAATGGATTGGGGGTGGGGGTGGGTGGAGCTTCTGGGACCTGTTAGAAAGTTATTGCCAGAGTCTAGTATGAGATGAGGCATCTGGTACATTGAGGTAATAAGACTTGGGAGACAGGTGTTCTTTTCTTAGTCAACAGATAGCATTCAGAGAATATGTAAACTCGTTATTTAAAAAAAGGGGGGCTTATGAGTTTTTTTTTTTTTTTAAGCAGCTACTATAGAGTACTTTGCGGGGGGGGGGGGAAAAAGAGTGCATTTGGAATTAAAACCAAGGTTAAATTCCTGGCTTTGCCATCTTCTAGTTATATAATGCAGAAGTTACCTAACCTCTTGAGTCTCGGTTTCGTTTCCTCTAAATTAAGGGCGACAATACATTCTCGGTAGGGATTTGCGTATAAAATCAGTATTTTAAGGCACCTAGCAATGGCGCTCAATATTGGTTCCCGCCTTCCCCAAGGTATCCCTCGGGCTGAGTCTGCGGAGCCAAGGACCCCCGACCCCCGAGGTCGGGAAAGCGGTTCTACCTGGAGACCGCGGCCGGGCACTCCTCCTCAGCCCGGCCGACCTCCGATCGCCGGCCCCACCTGGGAGCACTTCCCGCGGGATGACTGAGCATCCCCCGCCAGAGGGGCTCGGGAGCGGATGCCACTCCCGCCAGCCCGGGAGGCGGTGGGAAAGCGCGGAGAGCCGGGCGGAGAGGCTGCAGCTGCCACCCCCACACCGCCCGCCCGCGAACTCGCCGCGGGTGCTGGGCCGCGCTGGCCGCGTTTGAAGTCTCCGGCGCCGCCGCTGGTTGGCCGGCGCGGGTCACGTGCGCCCAGACAGGAGTTTCCCCGACAGCTGGAGGCTGCGTGGGATCCGGCGGCGGCTCCCGAGCTCGGCGGTGCGGCCTTCCCCGCCCCCTCCTCCCTCCTCCCCCGCCCGCTTCCGCCCGGCTTATTATCCTCCTTATTGACAAACAGAGCGGCCGCGGCGGCGACTCTCGGCGTGCGTTTGTAGCCAAGCCATGGGAGACAAGAAGAGCCCGACCAGGTAACAGCGCCCGGGCCCCCGGGCCCGGACTGTACAGGCGGCGGGGCCCTCGCGCCGAGCTTCGGGCGGCCGTCTCGCTTGCCGCCGGGGCAGCGGGGCCAGAACGGGGGCGGCGCCGGCGCCGCTGCTGCGCTAGCGCTGCCGCGTGAGGAGCCGGCGCCGGCCGCCCCACAATGGAGCCGCGATGGCGGCGGCCGGAGAGGTAGCCCCGGGTGTCAGAGCGGCGGCGACTGCGGCCGCGCCCGTGCCCTCCCCCTTCCCGAAGACTTCCCTCCCACTCCGAGCCGGAGCGCGGTGCGCCGGGGGCCCGCGGGGCGGGGGTCGCGGAATTGGGGCGGGGGGCGGGGCGGGGGCGGCCGCAGGGCCCGGGCGCCGGGCGCGGCCTGCTGGTGACCCCGCGCCGCGTCGTGTCCGGGTTGTGTCCTGCAGGCCGAAGCGGCAGCCGAAGCCGTCCTCGGATGAGGGTTACTGGGACTGTAGCGTCTGCACCTTCCGGAACAGCGCCGAGGCCTTCAAGTGCATGATGTGCGATGTGCGGAAGGGCACCTCCACCCGGTGAGTCCCGGGCCTGCCCCGCGCGCCGTCGGCCGCCCGGGTCGCAGCGCAGAGGACGCCCCTGCGGCTGCCGCCCCCTCGCGTGACACTCGCAGACCCGGCGGGAGGAGGCGAGACCGAGGTGGTGGCCGCGATAGGAACTGGGTCGGATTGATCGCGACCCGAGCGATGGTTTGCGGTGAGGGGTCATTGGAGAGGCCGTAACGTTATTTGCTGCCAAGAGAGAATAAATTATTTAAGAGAGGCATTAGCTACTGCGATTTAATTCGTACTGCTGGGTGTAATGCCCCCCCCCCCCCCATTCCGGGTATAATAATGTGGGCTGCATTGTTGTGTTAGTGTGTAGGAATCAAAGAAAAACCATGAAATCCTCTGTGGAAGCAGAAGATGTAATTTAATTTCGTTCTTCAAAAAAAAAAAAGTATTTGATTATAGAATATACAATAGGTTCAGCTTCCTTTTTTTAAATATAGACGTCTGGAAGGGTCAGATCAGGATTTTGGTTAGTATTTTTATTCTTATTTTCTAAGATTTTATAAATAGTTGTAGGTGAGCCCAGTCACAGGGACACATTTTCACTGAAAGTATCTGAATATTTTTAGTTTGATTAAATGGCAATCTATTAGACTATACAAATGAGATGAAATGATCTCTGCCTATTTTCAGTATTTTATTGTAGGCTTACATTATAATAGCTCAGTCTTTTTTAAAAGCCACTTAAGTGAATTAAGTGGATAAAGAAAATCATACAGGAAATTCAAAGTCTGATATTCATGATCTGCCAACACTTGGTTACAGAGTTCCTTTGCCTTTATAGGAAAGTAGCCTTTAATTTGTTATAATCATGTGATTTATAGCCCAATATATATTTTTTTGGGGGGGGAGTTTAAGTTTTATTTTTAAAATTTATTCAGTTTATCTAAAACAAAAACAAACCAGTTCATCCATTTCTGTCCTCCCACCTCCAATCTGATATGAAACTCATATGTATAGCCTAATATTTAGATACAATGTATTTTCATATTAGAAAGTCTATTAGGAACTATGCTCTCACAAGAGTGTACCTATACTGATGTGATATACTGTTGCTTTTAAAAAAGGGCTACTCAGTATTGACATCAGATTTATATATTCTGTAGAAGTTAGATTTCTAGAAATGAGCTATCCAGATTTTTAAACACCATTTACAACAATTTATTAAATTTTTAAAATGTAGAGACAAGTGATTGGCAATAATTTAAATTTTAAGATTTGTTTAGTTAAACTAGCTGCTTTTGACATACCTTTTTGTGGACCATAATATGCTTTTTTTACATTAATTTTTGTTTACATTGGATAAAATGTATTGAGCATTTTTCATGATATCCTTTAAGAAGCAGACTTTAAGACATCTTCTAAATCCAAGGGAATATAATAGACCATTCTAAAAAGAAGGAAAAGCACTTATTTGCTGAAGTGAATGTGGCAACTATTTTTGGACCCGTGATTTAAGTGTTTTGAAAAGTGGAGTATATCTTTATATAAGGTTGGATTTGGTTGAGATTATGTTTGTATATCTCTGTTAGTACTTTGTACTTCTTAAAACACTCCCAACAATTTTTAGAAAATGGTTTTTGGAGGCAGGAACTTTAAAGTGGAGACAATTATTACAGTCTTAATCTCTGGTACGATGTTGTTGCTTTTTGTTGTTCCCTCTCTATTTTCTTGTAGCCATTAGAAAAAATACTGAAACTAGAAGAGCCTATATGTTTATTTGCAGGGACAGCAAGGAAGGGGGGAAGCTGTTGTCCTACTCCACAGCCAGTCTTGGGGTTAGAGGAACCCTAAGAAATAGAGTAGGTGGTGGCAGCTCAGAAGAGAAGAAACAGGCTGAATACCTGGCACCTGGAAGAAGAAGGAATAGAGTGCACAGGGGAGTTGGCCCAGGACAGAGAAGTGGGCCTAGTTTAAAAGAGGCTTGAGGCCCACATGGGGGCCCCTGATATTTTTTTACCAGTACATCTGAGCTCTTGTAGATCCAATTTTTAGTGGTGGAAACATTACTTGAGGAGGACTCAGAGAAGCATTGTCATTTGGATTGAAACTGAAGAGGCTCTGGGCAACTCACCAGAAGTCTAAGGGACACTCTGTTCCTAAAAGTAAGTGTTCTACAGTACGACCCTCTCAGCTTCTTCCTTCTTCTCTCTGAATTGTCTCTTCTCTTTTGATTTTTGGCCCTAAGTTAAACCTAAGAGCTCTAATTTCTGTGTTATCTGTTATTTTCCTGCCACTGTTTCTGCAATTCAGAGTGGAATCCATGTTTGGATAGAATATTGGAACAAGGCATTGTTAATAGGACAGATATTGACTTCACCACAAAATATTTCCCTCTCTGGTAACGTTAGAGAAACAGGATTGCAGAACACTAGTGAGAAGCAAAAGTTTCAGGAGCTGGAAGAAATAATTCTATACAACTGACACGTTAATTAGCAGTTAGGGTAATTTCATGTGTAAGGTTTGTGATTCTCAAAGCAGGGCCTGGATAGCGGCAGAGCAGGAGATGTAGTTTGCTAATGACTTGTTTGCGTGACTGACCTAAGGGACTTGAATTGCTTGGGTCACACTGACCTTTGAACTGATTTTGTCTGGAAGTCACCAAATGTGAGGCCAAGTCTCAGCCATTCCAGACATTTGAAAAGTCTTTTCTTTTTAAATCTCCAGAGAAGAAGGAGCCCATGATTTCCTTCCAAAGTCTTTACTGACAATTTTGTCTTTAAGGAATATCGAGTTCAAATCCTTTGTATTCCAACAGAAGGACCCCCCACCTTTTTTTTTGGCTATATCCTTGGTAGGTCACAATTTTCTGCAGAATAATTATGCAATGAAATGAGGTCATATTCATAGTAGCATTTTAAAATGAAACATGATTTAAGTAGCTTCAGTTCCTAAATTGATCAGTTATATTCTTTAAATTAATGCCATTTCTATGATTAAATTTTAGTTTGTGCTTGCTGGCCTTAAGTAGTTTAAATTTGATTAATCTCTTTTTTTATCCAGAATGTAAATAACTAGATCAAGTACCTGAAGTTTTCTACTTTGTGTTCTTTTGAGAGAAGCAAAGATAAATGTCATACTGACAGGAAACATTTAAAAAAGAAAAAGCTATGGTGACAAATTACTATCAAAGGTACTATACAGTGTCCTTCATCTTTTTATCTCGAGTTTTTATATAGAAAGAAATGTCTCACATATAAACCTCAGAAATGTTAGGAAATTAAGAACCATTCTAAATCATCAAAGAAAATTTACTATAGTGTGAATAAGGGTGGTACAATCAATGTATAATGATTGAGTTAAAATGGTATCTTAACTGCCACTTCTTATAGGAATGGAAATTACAGGTGCCAGATATTTAAAAATGAGAATGATGAAGCAATTTTTTTTTATTTTGAAATGTGAGCTCAATGAGAACATATAAAACACCTAGTCTATAGTGGACTTTTCAGGTGTAATTCAAAGTATAACAGGTAATGTTTATTTTCTCCAGTTAAGTTGCAACAGTTCCCTTAGGTTTTTTAGAGATGTTGTTTTAGAGAACAATGAAAAAGATGTCACATGGAAGAAAGAGCACTAGTTGTACTAGATGTCTGGCCACCTGTGTTCTTAACCATTTCAACCACTTCAATGTTCAGCAGTTTTCACTAAACATCTTAGTTTATATAAGGGTTGAGCTAGGTATTGGACATACAATGGTGAGCAAATAGATGTTTCTTTGTTTCCTTTGTAAAATTTTATGATTTTTTTGTCAAATCAGAAATACCTTGAATAGTATCAAATACCATACATGCAGTAGTATTAGTAAATCTTTATGTATATGTCAAAGAGGTTGAGATTTTCTCATTTTAAAAAAGTAGTATTGGGACACCTGGGTGGCTCAGTTGGCTGGGCATCTGCCTTTTGCTCAGGTCGTGATCCCAGGGTCCTGGGATTGAGCCCCACATCAGGCTGCCTGCTCAGTAGGGAGCCTGCTGTGTGCGGGTGCGCACAAGAATAAATAAAATCTTTAAAAAATATGTTAAAAATTTTTTAAAATCGTGTTTGTAACTGAACACAGTAATATTTAGGATCTGACTGTTGATAAAAGGTACCTTATTTCAGCTTCTGTAAAATGGAAGTAAATTGTTTAACATTTACATTTTGAAGAAATCTTAAAAAGAAACCCAACTATCTGATAAAAAATCTTTCCAGTATTATTGTTATCATAGTTGCTTTTTGTCTTCTAATTTGAGGTTTGCTGCAGATTCTCCTACTCTTGATGTAGGAATGGGAGAAAAAAATTGAGGGCCATCTAGGTCAGTTTGTTTTTCAGAAATGCAGAGTTCCCCAATCTCCCTTATCTGTCTGAGGAGACTTTCCAGCTACTACACAGCTGTTGTTGTTTAGAGATTCTTTATTCTAGGTGCTTGGTTGGTTGGTTTTCCTCTTTATATCTTGGGTTAGAGTAATCACAGGAGTTGATTTTTTTTTTTTTAAGATTTTATTACTTTATTTGACAGAGAGAGACACGGTGAGAGAGGGAACAAAAGCAGAGGGAATGGAAGAGGGAGAAGCAGGCTTCCAGCTGAGCAGGGAGCCAGATGTGGGGCTTGATCCCAGGATCCTGAGATCATGACCTGATCCGAAGGCAGCCGCTTAACGACTGACCCATCCAGGCGCCCAGGAATTCATTATTTACAGAGAAATTCCTAAAGTGATTAGCGGTTGGATTAATGGTTTTCAAAAAGTGTGATCTGAGGAACCCTGGGGATCCCTGAGACCCATTTAAGGGAATCTGTAAGGTCTAAACTGTTTTCATAATCATATTAAAATGTTACTAGCCTTTTTTTGTGTGTGTCGACACTGCAGTGGTGGTACAAAGGCAAGGGTGGGTAAAACTGCTGGGCCCTTAGCATGAATGAAAGCAGTGGTAACAAATCGCTATCTATATTTATCATTATCTTCACCACTATGCATGTGAAGTAAAAATAACGCTAGTTTCACTTAAGAATGTATTCTGTTGATGAAGCAGTAAAAGTTACTAATTTTAGGAAGTTTCATGTCTTTTTAAATATTGTTTGATGAACTGGGAAGTTACAAGTAAAGTACTTCTGTTGCATACCAGAATATAGTGGTTGATTCAAGGGGAAGCATTTGTGTAGTTGTTTGAGCTGCAAGCAGAATTAGCTGCTTTTTTCATAGAACATCATTTTTACTTGAAAGAATGCCTAGCAAACTATGGCTATTCAGACTCGGGTACATAGCCCATATTTTCCTGAAAATGAACATAGTGAGTCTGTCATGTCGAGGAAAACAATTGGTAGTATTTGTTTCCAATGATAAAAATTGAGCTTTCAAGTGAAAACTAGAGTTTTTGAAAATGTGTAACTGTGATAGTTCCTAGTATTTTAAAGATGAAATAGGTGGTGATATCAATGAACGTAATATCTGATATTTTATCATGAAATTTGTTGATATTTGGAAGATTTGCATAACTCAGTGAACCAATATTTTCTAATAATGTATGATGTTACAAAACCACGCGTAGATAATCCATTTAAAGTACAAAATAAACGAATAGACTTTAAGGGACTACCATGAAAAGTTTGTTGTTGTGGTTTCACATGTCACATTGCAATTAACCTTTGAGAAATAACTACTTGTGTGTTTTCAGAAAAAGGCTATTAAAATACTCCTCCCTATTCAACTACCTACTTGTAGGAGTCCACATTTCCTTCATATTCTTGAACTGAACCAACCTACTACAACAAATTGAATGCAGAAGTAGATATGACATTCCAGATGTCTTCTGTTAAGCCAGATATTAGAGGTTTGCAAAAGTATGCGAGTACTACTCTTCACACAGAATTACTTTTGTTTTGGAAAATACAGGTTTTTAAAATAAAAATATTTATATTAAAATGTGCTTTTTATTTTTTAATAAACTAATATATATTAAAATTTTAGTTGTTTTTATTTCTAATATAATAATTTATTCTTGCTAGATAAGACTTACATAAACAAAAGCTCTTTTAACTTTGAGAGTGTACAGAGAGCCTGAGACCGAAGTTTATGAACTGCTGGTGTAGGGCTTGCTAGCTTAGGTTTCTACAATCCAACAGATTTTTTTCAGCAGAGATTCTTTTCCTTTCATTTATCCTTTGTTGAGTGAGGTCTCCCTGATAACCTAGTGACCTACTTGTTAAACTCATTGGCCTAGCTCACTCTTCTTTCCATGTCACCTCCATAGTATTTGATGTTGGTAGCCTTTTTTTTTTTTTAATTGAAATTCTCCCTTTTTGATGTCTCTAACACAACTTATTCCTAGTTTTCCTTGTATATCTCTGAAATCAATTTCTACACGCTGAAAGCTGGCTTCTTCTCTATATACTTTACTTTGTACGTGGCATAAACTTTCTGGAATCTAAGCCAGAAACTATCATTGTCTCAACTTTGATTCTAACTTATCATCTCCCATGTCCTGTCTTTGGATTGTCTCTCATATCTGTCCTTTTTCTAGTTTATGTTGCTGTAGTTTAGAAGCCTATGTCATTTCTCTCATGAATTACGATAAATTGGTCTCTTCTCCATGATGCTGCTAACATTATCTTCAGTATGTTTTTTGAAACTATGTGACTATGCAGGCCCCTTTATTTAAAAAAAAAAAAAAAAAAAAAATTGAGAGAGATCTCTCCAGTGAATAAAGATCTCTTCATTGACTAAAGGTTGAGATCCTGAGTGTGGTATTCAAAGCTATATTATTTATCTCTGAACTGCCTTCGTACCTTTGTTTCCTGCTGCAAATCCCAAGGAATCTAATGCTGCATCAGCACTGAAGTGTTTTCATCAAATGGCCCATCTTAAATCCTTTTGGGTTACAGCCTCCCCACCCCAACTGTTTTATTGATTCAGTCTATGTAAATGTATATGTAATTATTCCTAGAGAATCACCATGTTGTAGTAGTATCATCTAGATGTTTATCTGCCTTTCTGGGCAGTCTTACCCTCTTTGGTATCCCCAGAAGCTAGAAAAGTAGTTGGAATATTATAGGCACTTAAACTTTTTCAGCCAACGTTCCTTTAAATTTTACTCTTGCTATTTGACACCTAGCATTGCTTTTCC